GATGGTGCTCTCCCTCCTCCAGTCTGTGCGTTCTGGGTGCTGTTCCGAGGGTCCTGAGGGGGAGAGCAGGCCTGAGGGCTCCTTGTCTGCAGAACAGAGCGAGAGACTAGCACCACTGCCCGGGCAATGGCGGGAACGTCGATGCAAATGACCACGTGCAGTGGCCCCCGAGCACCCCGCTCTCCCAGGAACTTGCTGAGTAGGATTTCCACTTCCCTCCGACACCTTCCTTGTAGGGAACTCCAGCCTTCTAAATGAGTCAGCGTGGACTGTGTTTTGTTCTCTGGGGAACTGCACACTTCCTCTTTAAAAGGCAGCCATGCATGGAGATGCGTCCACCGCCATGGGTCCACAGCACTCTGCACCCCCTGGCCTGTCATCTCCCTGCATCATTGTATGTGGCTGCGTGAGTCCGGAGAGCGACTTAGGAACTAGTATTGGACTTGTGGACTAGAATGGGACTTACGGACTTGATCTGGACTGGGCTGGGATGTTGCTCGATAGATAACTATTTCTTGAGCTAAAGCTCTTTCTTACACATTAAAAAAAATGCAGCCAACACAGGAACCCCACATCTGCACATCGAGGTCCACACTCACTTTGGACTTTTTAGCGGGAAGGGGGCGGGGTCTCCTGTGTTCAGTTTCTAAAAAGAAAAGACCCTAGAACCCTCAATAACAGATACTGCAAGCCATCTGTGATAGGTAAATTTACTGTGCCAACCTGTCCAATAGGAACATATGGGATGAATCAGGTTGCAGTTTGATTGGAGGGCAAAGAGATAAAGCCCACTCAGCAAAGCCCACCCCTCTCTCTCTTGTTCTCTGGTGATCTGATCAGCGTGTGGCTGCTTTAGCTAGTTCTCTGTCTCAACTTGTGAGCTATACCACCTGTGGGACAAGCCAAACCTTGGATCATGTCGCTAGAGATTGAGGTTCCTTCAAGACCTGCTTCGTCACACTGCTGGTGTGCACATCACCTGAGCTTGAGGCTGGTGGATTCTGTCTCTTGCGTTGCTTGAGTTCGATGTCCCATCAGGACCTGCTTTGCTAAGCCCCTGAGTTGCTGACTGTTGGCGACCTGTCCTGCGGTTTGCTGCCTGTGGGGGGAGATTCTGCCTGCCTTGCCCGAGGGAAGACTCAGCTGTCTGCTTCGCCGTGGGAAGGCAGGGTCACATTCTGGCTACTTTACAGATAGCCAAATGAAGGCCGAGGGAGGCCAGCACTCGGCCTCAGGCTGGCAGCCGAGGAACGGCAGGAAAGAGCAGGCCCTGGGTCTGTCCGGGTCTTGGACGACACCGGGCTGGAGATGTTCATGCCGATGGCCAAGGCTCAGGTGATCCAGCTCTGGGGAGGGGGGTTCCTTCAGAAAGTGTGAGGGTGCCGTGATGAGGCTGTGGGCATCGTAATGACCTGGTGAGCCCGAAGACTGGCTGGGGTGCTCTCTGCCCTGTGTGTGGGCCCAGGTGGAGAGGGGACTGGTGCCAGTGAGCTAAATCCTAATGTCTACCCCCCAACTTCAGCCTGGAGGTGGGGGAGAGGTGAAAGAGTTTAAACTCAGGTGTACTAACTTTCCGTTCTGGTGATAGGGGTCAGACAGGAGAGCAGGGTGGGGTGAGGAGGTTCAGGAGGAAGAGCAGGGTGGGGTGAGGAGCCCTGGGCTCTGAGGCCCTAGTGTCCGAGTACTGGCCTGGTCCAGCAGGTAGAGGCGGGCCACGTAGGCCTGCTCTGTCTCCAGCAGCTCCTGGACAATCCTCTTCTCAGGCTCCTGCAAGGGGATTGGAGGGCCAGACGAGGATGAGGAGGGAGAGCTTGGTTTCCTGTGATTGGGGGGGCGGGCGTGAGCTAAGAGGACCCCTCTGATGGGGGCCATGAGCACCAGTCTCCAAGACGACACAGGGGGGACACACAGACACACATGCACATGCCGCATCTGGCTGGGCCAGGGGCCATGGTAGCTGACAGCAAAAACAAGGTAGTGTCATTTCTGGGCTTCAACCCTGAGGCCTAGACACTTCCATGCATGCACTGTTAGGAGCCCTGGTGGCATAATGGGTTACACATCAGGCTGCTAACCAGAAGGTCAGCAGTTCGATACCACTAGCCACTCCACAGGAGAAAGATGAGCCTTTCTACTCCCGTAAAGAGTTACGGTCTTGGAGACTCACAGAGGCAGCTCTACCCTGCCTCACAGGGTTGTCATGTGTCAGAATCAACTCAACGGCAGTGACCTTGGATTTGGGTCCCTTTAAGAGACCTCGTGGAGAGAAGAGGTGACGAGACACTATGGAGAGGGAGCACAAGGGGTGGCAAGACACAGCCATGGCCGGAGCTGTCGTGGCCAGCCCCGGTGGGCCCCCATCTAACTGCAGCCACGTAAGAGACCCCAAGGGAGGCCAACTGGACAGTTGACCGGCTGCAGCCCAGTCGACTCACACTGGTGAGAAATAGCGGGCCACTGCGGTGGGGGTGCCTGGTTAAGCAGCCATGGAGAACCAGTTCGTCCTCGCCGTCTTACAAATGGGGAAACAGAGCGACAGAGGTCAGCACACCTTGCCCAAGGTCCTGCAGTTATAACGCAGGTAGTCAGGCTGGTTTCGGGGTCCCCTGCCTTGCAGGCCCCCAAGGAATGCGGGTCTGTTTGGGGCACACGGGGTGCCATG